TKRRGRARGRRGAAMCMWWAWKRMCCCCYKGGRAWKRMCCCCCYGGRAATRACCCCATTTAYATATATGATATACTTTTTGCGTTTAAGGTAACGCACAACGAAAACATGGAAAAGTCATCTATCCAGAAAGAAGAAAACATSTCTAATCATCGAAAAAMAAATACATCKTACGTTTCGCCAAGGAGTAGAAGCACTTCTTACTTTAGATAAATACTGGAAACAGCAAGGGGCGCGACCATCACAGTCAAGTACATGTACTAGCTTCTACTGGTTATGGAGTAAATAAGAGCAGTATTGAACTGAACCGGAATAAAAATCTACMTAGTATTGACCATGTATAAGTTCAAAACCAACTCAGTTAATGTATTTAACTATTTTTTTAATATTTTAYGGAGAGGGATCGAGTAACCAATCGAAATTTTCAGGCGCATGTGCAGGGGGTTTCAGCAGCTTTGTTTTATGGTTTCAAGACTTTGAAGAAAAGATGAATTTGGCTGTAAAATTGAATGAGTATTGTTTGAGAATGACATGAACATACTGTTGGACTATCCAAAAAGGTGTGACCCTATTGATTTGTCGCCTGACAAGGAAATGAGGTCCTGGAAAGTGTCGATCCTGCACAGGTACCTGAGTAAAAGTATGGGAGAGATGGGAATGGATTGGTATGGATTTTCTCACTTTTTTAACAACAAAAATAATCAACAGAATTTCAGCATTCTCTTTGTTTATTGAAAAACAAGGGRTAGATTTCTAGAGAAATTAGATGCAGCCACACCCTAAGATGATGTTGCACCCTGGTCCCTTTTGTGATGCACCTTCYAACCCTATAATCAATTCTATGTCCGCTCCATATATTATTTTTTACTGATCTGATTTACTCTAAAAAAAATTATAAGCCATCTTTTCTCAATGTTAGGTATATACTTAATGATCAGTGTCGTGGAGAGTGTTTAAAAAAATTCCTCATTTTCACATACAAATGCAGTGGGAACATCAAAATGTCCTTACATGTAAGACACTTATTGTAAAATAATTATTTCTACTAAACAATGGAATGAGTAGTWAAGAATACAGCCTTGATATGAGTTGGCCAAAGTGTGCACTTCTTAGCAGTTGTAAACAATGATACTCTAAGCTTTCTCAAAGTCAGWAGGCGTAACACTCTCAACAGCTTAGAGATACTGTAGCTCTCTATGGTCAATTGAAGTTTTTTTTTAACAATATCTTGTCTAGAAGCCCTGCAGCACTCCAACATCCAGCATACATTTATYGCTCGTATAGTTCCATATTATTTAATATTCCACAAAACACGAGAAGGGCATTAACTTATACAACTGTGTATATGATATGAATATCATTAAGAGGATTATAACAGTGCGACTGTTACATCACTGYACTGGGTACTAATGATATAATGGACATATAATACATACTGTAGCTAGTTATCAATTTTTTAAATGTACAAAATAATAGGAAATTTTTAAATGCTAGCAATTCTACTATATGCAAAGAATTTATATAACATCTCTAGTTAATTTTGTAATATTTGCTTAAAAAATAAATAAGTGAAATGGAAATTTATGGATCAATTTACTTATTTTAGATGCAACAATCACCCTAAAACTGTTAATTGGTTTGCTTTACACCAAGCCTCTGGTATCAAGTGTAGGTAATCACACTTTCATGCTGTATTTTAGTGAACCAATCACAGATCAGAATGATCTGTTGTCTGTGATGAGCTCTTATTGGTTCGTTTATTGGACATGTTTGACAGATAAAATACAGCATGAAAGTGTGATTGCCTATGCCTGATACCAGAGGTTGGACATAAAAACAAACAGATTAATAGAAACATCCCTCCGCTTCGTGGCTCGACAACATTTTAAGCAAAAGAATAAAAGACAAGCCTCTTTAACCAGGCCACCTATAACCTCAACAACAGCTATTGTTCCCTTTTAATCTCATTCTTTCATTCATTTTTTGTTGTACTAAATTCCCATTTTCCCGTTGAAAAAAATTCTGTATCTGCTTCCAAATGGTACATCACGGAACAGGGTGACCAAAGGTCAAAATGGCCGACTCGATATACACCAATTTCAACTGTGCAATGATATTTAAATCGACTTGAAAAAGACAACTAGACAACGAAACCTTATAATATGTAAAATACATCAAATGTAGCAAATCACGAACGAAAATGCTATAAAGATATTCCCACGTGAATTMAGAAGACGCGCTATTAAACTATCTTGGACACACGGGAGAATGTTTGTCATTTTACAAAACAAAGTCAGTATTTCATTGAATTATATACMAAGCCTGTAGTCTAAAACAACAAGATACACCCCAGGGGATTGATGATTGTACAATATTCACTTTAAACAATAGAAACACTACTTATTCACCAAGATATCATCGTACAAAATACAAAATATTCAATAGTAGCGCACGTTTCTATCTGGCTGGTTTTGCGCGCTATGTTTTTAATCCTAACAAACATACCTATTAGTCTAAGACTTACCTTTAAGTGTCTCCTTACTCAAGATAACTTCTAGAGCAACCTCTCTTGTAAAATAGACCCAATATTTCAGTAAATAAGACATCAAAACATTGTGTGAAATCTTTTCAAACTTCGCGCAGTTCTTGCACATGAATACCCATAAGGCATTTGGACCTCAATCTTTTTTAAGTTTTTTTTTTTAACACAAGCGTTCTTGGTCGTAATACTTTTAACTATTGTATGGCTATAAACATATGTTTTTAAAAAAAGACCAGTGTAATTCTAAAGAGATTCATGAAAAGTTAAAAATAATAATGTAGAAATACTCCGGCTGCTCGGGTTTCCTGTGGTATTGCCACTGGTTTCCAGTTCTCAACCACACTCACGACCAAAATGGCGGCTCTCTRAGGAAAAACATGGTCGACAAGAAAGAACCCGAGTCTGTTACCTACACATCAATCAAAGAYGGARCTAAAMAGACAATTCCAAACACGCTCATTTATGGCTCCTGTAGAGCAGTTACAGAATTTGAAAAATTAAACAGGATCGGKGAAGGAACGTACGGAATTGTCTACAGGGCTAGAGACACAAAGTCCAATGAAATTGTAGCATTGAAGAAAGTYCGAATGGAAAATGAAAAAGATGGCTTTCCTATCAGTAGCCTTCGTGAGATAAACTTATTACTGAGCCTTAGACATGAGAATATTGTCCTACTTAAAGAAGTAATTGTGGGTAAACACTTGGATAGTATTTTCTTGTCGATGGAATACTGCGAACAGGTTTGTGATAGCTGCAAGCTTTCTCTTTATTAATAGCTATCATATACAATGTCATTAGATTGRCCAAGCGTTGTAAACTATTGCCATAAGTCAGAGAATTTAAGCATGCTCAAATGTCCATGTTTACCAGAGGCATGTACAGGAGGGGTTTCAGGAGGGCGGGTTACAGCCCTGTTTTGAGGTTTGAAGACTATGAGAAAGGCAATTGACTGCAAAACTGCATGAGTATTGTTTGGGATTTCAACACCAAACAAATTGCTGGAAATTCTGGAAGGAAGGAGGCACTTTTGGATCACCCCCAGCACATGCCCCTGTTGATGGTGCATAAAAAAAACAGATAACGGCAACTCTCACCTATTATCATAACAGTTCGCCCATATTAAAATGAATMTAAGACCATTAAGAATCCTAACCAACCACAATACAGCGCACACTTGTGTTATTGTTTACATACGTTTAAATGCGTCAAGSATACAATAGATTATATTGATAGTACTTGTGAGGTACTTAGTTCAAGGTATTTCTGTCCAAACTGAAAGGATGGAAGACAATTCGTGCTCACTTTAAGAAATCCTACGAATCCACCTACAATGGCGCTTCGGGTTGCAGGGTACAGGGGTTGGTTGTGATTCTTTAAAAAGAGAATAGTTTTCTTTAACAATTACCGTAAATATAAGCTAAAAAATACCATTTTCAAAGAAACATAGCCACAACTATAATAAATTCTGGTAAACACATAAAGATATCATACATTTATGCTAATTGATACATATATTTCAAAGGATGTTGCAAGTTTGTTAGACAACATGTCCACGCCATTCACAGAGGCTCAAATCAAATGCCTGATGATTCAGCTCCTCAAAGGAACACAGTACCTCCATGATCGCTTCATAGTACACAGAGATCTCAAAGTATCCAATCTTTTGCTCAATGGTAGTGGTGTGCTGAAGATAGGTAAGTAAAAACACTCTTTTTTTACTATTTTGTCTCTGTGCTTTGAAATCATRCTTTTTCGCCAKTGTCATTTGTTTTTACTCTTTTAAACACCTTAAGYCCACCCGCACACAATAGGAAAGTGCATAAGGGAAATGTCACATGAAGTGCTTTGATCACCATTTTGCTCACTGTGAACAGCAAAAATTGGTGTGCACACGCTGCTCAAAGCGACTGGCATGGCATTWCCCTTACRCACTTTCCTTTCATGTRCATCGGGCTTTACCTTGGTCATCTAGGCATCCTTGGTCATCTAGGCAAAGTTTTGTACTAGTTAACCAATCAAAAATTGACAATGAATTTTACAATCTTAGCATATAGGTCATAAAAACATGCTTTGCTTAACAAATTCAGTATTCCCACTGACAAGTTTCTAGATCTGTGCCTACAAACTGTTCATTCTCACTTTCTCTATCCCCCCTCACATCATTTTATAATTCCAAATAACTAATCCCTTCCTTTTTCCTAGCCGACTTTGGATTGGCCAGAACCTTTGGATACCCWTACAARCCAATGACTCCATTAGTGGTCACCCTGTGGTACCGTGCCCCAGAACTTYTRTTCGATGCCAAAATCCACACCACAGCAGTAGATATGTGGGCTGTTGGGTGTATTTTTGGAGAACTTCTTGGAAACAAGCCTTTAATGGCTGGAAAATCAGAACTCAACCAAATTCAGCTTATTGTGGACCTTCTAGGCTCACCAAGTGACCAGATATGGCCAGGATTTTCACGTTTGCTTGTAAGCAAGAACTTTACATTGAAATGGCAGCCCTATAATAACCTTAAGCACAAATTTTCTTGGTTAAGTCAAGCAGGGCTGAATCTGTTGAAYCACATGTTAYTGTATGACCCATGTCGAAGAGCAACTGCAAAGGAATCTTTAGAAAATTCGTACTTTGTTGAAAAGCCTCTTCCTGTCGACCCAGATATGATGCCTACATTTCCTGAACATAGAAATTACAAGAAGAGACCTGCAGCAGAAAGGTCAAGGCCAGTACAAGAAAGCCAGCCATTCTCAGCAAACTTTGCTGATTCTTTTGGACCACAATTGCCTGTCCCAGTTAAAAAGCGAAAGTCTAAATAAATTTAAAAAAATACAATGCTTGGATTTTTTGGAAACTCYGGCACCTTCCCATTGTAGCGGGAAATGTGTGTAACCCAAATGCAGTGTTCATGCTACATTATCACTACAAAATTCGAGGACTTCTTGAAAATATTGTTTGATGTTTGTGGACGTTCCAGAGGCGATTTTCAAAAATAGCCACATTTCAATAGCCGACTTCAGATATTTTGGTTCAGTGACCATGCACAAAAGAATTCCAGACGAGGCTCCAGGGAAATAAAAGAATAAATCAAGATTATCCATTTTTTTCCCGGAGCCTCGTGTGCGTTCTTTTGTACATAGTCATCGAACCAAAATATCTAAAATGGTGGGAACTAGCGGTAAACTAGTGTGAGCTGCGTCGGTGTTTCTAAAGAAACAGTTGTGTAAAGAAGATAAGTTTAACACCGTGAAAAAAGTATGTGAAATAACTTACTGACGTTTCGGATGTTAATCCTTCGTTATTACTCCGACGAAGGATTAACATCCGAAACGTCAGTAAGTTATTTCACATACTTTTTTACGGTGTTAAACTTATCTTCTTTACAAAAATATCTAAAGTTGACTATTGGAACGCTAACAAGTAACATGTCAATTTCCGATTAGATTCAAGGAGTTTTCCAGGACTTAAAGCAATTTTCCTTCAAGGGCTTTTCAAGCTCTCTTGAAAACGAGTTTTCAATTCCAGGACTTTTCAAGGAGTAGCGCGAACCCTGCAAACATACCACGCGCATCTACACGTATCTGACCGCAATCGAAAATTTTCGACAAAACATTATGGATACAAAAATGTCCGCCCTATTGTGTTCAAGGTTCGTATGTTACTCTTACGTTGCGTGGGCCGACAGCATAGGGCTCRCGTTTTCATGTCTCAAACCCTTTTATCGCGGCTCACAGATTACTGAACAACGATTGTACATAATGATACTTAGAGATAATGTTTAGTATAATAGTATAATTTAAGTTTATTGGCAGGTTTGGCTCCGTCATGGCGCACATTTTTGCTCCCATCACATTTTGACACCACCTGTGTAACTATTAGAGTACTGACGAACGTCAAAATGGAATCTGTTTTAAAAAGGTCCAATTACAACCGACAGCCTTTGCGATTGTGTGTTTTGTTCTTAAAAAGTCTTGTTGAAAGTTAACTAGGAAAAGTTACACCAAGTTATTTAAGCGCCATTTTGTTCCAACTATGAAAATCACGAAAACAAGAGAAAACGAGTTTGACATMACCGTGGCAATAATTWACTCGTATCGCGGCAATAGTTACGGCCGCCATCTTGAATTTTTTTGGCGGATGTCCAGAGTACAGATTGCTATTAATACTTAATGTGATAATTTCGTATTAGAAAATGAATTTTTAGTAAATGTTAAAATTAAAGATGCTTAAAAGAGGCTCTCTGCGCCACTTTGTGTTAAGGAGTGCCAAAACAAAACCAAAATATRAATTATTTTTTTGAAGTTCACTTTTTTGGATATTTTTCGTACTATGTAACATAATCACCGCGTGCAGTATATAAATTTCTTGCTTAGTGTCCTCTTCCCAAAGTTTCTTATTGAATTGAAAATAGAACGTATTCCAGATGGAGGCCATATTGGTCAGTTGTAAAGTCACCATTAATTTTTATCAAAAGTTTACTTTCCAATTTTTCTATGTAAACATTGTGCATCTGTTAGTACACTCAGCTGGTGTTTGTAATGTAACTATTGTAGCCTTCATAAAGCGGCGAAATAGTTATATTTTGAAGCGTAACAAGATACAAACACTTAAAAGGAGTTTGACAACTCCATGTCAGAGTCGATCAAAATCGATCAGATATATGAACCAAGTACGGCTGTCACGACTTTTCCCCCATTTCACTTATAGAAATAATACAATCAAGCCAAGCCGATTTGGCTCCTTTTAATTATATTTATCTTCTTGAAACAAATCGACCTTTTTACGACAATCAAACAGCTCGATCYGAACTAATTCATTATTTACATGCACAATTTGTTAAATTAGGATCGGGACGGAAAGACGATATGTATGAAAAGTAAGGGATGAAAACAAGAGAAAAACGTATATGCTTGAGTAAATCATCTCTTGTTATTACAGACCCCCTTCGAAACCGAATTTAGAGTTTACATTGCGAGCGCCCTGTAATAGCGGGGGTTACGTGTAGCTTCAGGAAGATTTGATATCAGGGAGTTTGCAATACTGTCATCAATAATAATTATAGTTAGTTTATGATATGCCGTTCATTCCTGATAATTTAAGAAGCAGCCCCGCGATTTTTTAACAATGCCCACTACATCGCGGTGTCTCCATTATCGAGAAGTAATTATTGAAAAGTGTTTGCCTTTCTCAGAGTTCTCTTAAAAGCCTTAAACAGGCTGAGAGTGGTTTCACCGTTTTAAGTAAACATTTTGTTTAATTTTTAAGATCAGATAACTAAAAGATGACCACACGGAGGACATTTGATACTGTAATGAAATCCAATGAATTAATACTCAAACAGATATCAAGATATACAATATTCTCGTCAGAAATGTATCAATCGGCAATATTACAAAGCTCAATTTTACTATACCGATGTTGAATTACAAGCTTACCTTTTAGTTCTAAGCTTTTAATTAATAAAAATTTCACGATTCGACATGTGTCATTATAAGAGTGTTTTAATTTGTAAAAATTAATTTAAGTTGTTGAAGTTTCAGACTTCCAAGGCAAAGATAATCCTCTTAATGATATCTCCGAGTATCTCCGAGGACTGACATATTATAATGGTGATTTCTATTCAAATTCAACGATTTTAAACTCGTTGCTTAAAAAAAATATCCACTCTTGATAATGACACCAGGGAGTGTCAATCCGTCACAATTCTTATCGCCAGCTTTATTAGTACTAGATGTCTTAAATAAGTRCCTTAGTAAAATGCATTATCCTTATTCCTATCTAAACATATCCACAAAAAACACAAGTAAATTACAAAATAAGAAATAGCAATATTTGTAGACTCTCTTTCTTTCTTTCTTTCTCTTTCTCTCTCTTTCACTTTGAATTTTTTCACTTGTTTTTGTCTTTTTTCATTACATTATKTTTGCTCCTGTCTGAAGCACAATGAAGTGGCTTGGCAATGGTCTATGATTGCGCTGTACTGTCTTCCCTAGTTACTTGGCTACAGGCGAGTTTTAAATGACTGTCTCTTTGCTAAGTTTGCTATGAGAGGAAGTACTCCGCTTCTTCTGATCGAAACCTTCTTCGTTGCCAACCATCCTCTTGAATGCCATTCTAAAATCCGCCTTAAAAAACGTGTACATCAGCGGGTTTACAAAGTGTACGCAGTATTTGAATACGGCAAACACCAAGGTGACCAAAGGTGGGACAACAAAAATAGCAAGAATAAAAAAGGTAAGCAAGCCCATCATGAAAGCAATGACGGCCATCGATAGGTAGAGGCATACTACTTTCTGCTGCTTGTTCTTGTCTTTGTTTTTGGCTTTTGTCTCTACGAGGTTCGAWGCGTTCTTGTTTCTGGACGCGATTAGCCATCTAGTGTAGATGTTGAGAGCCACAATAATGGTAAATGGAATAATGGCGACAACAACCAACATAGTAGTGGCAAAGATTTTATCGTATAAAAATGGGTACTCGGCGACGGAGACGCTTATAGATACGATCCAAATGATGACCAACAATGCGATGATTCGAGCTTCTGTGAAGATGGTACGATATCGGAAAGGATATGCTATTTTGAAACAGCGATCACAGGTTGCGAGCAGAAGATGGATGATACTTGTGCAGGTCAAGCCATCATGTATCAATTTAAAAGCGACGCAGCTTGTTAAGTAGTCGTCGGYATAGTTACAGATCACAAATAATGGAAAGACTACTACTCCAGCGAAGAAGTCGGACAGAGCAAGGCTTACTAAGCAGTAGTTTGACTTGCGTCGAAGCTTCTTGAACTTAGCAAACAGGACAAAAACAAGTAAATTGATGACAATGATGAGAATACTCTCAAAGGCTAGACAACCCGTAGTTATATGCAAAAATRTCTTATAGGCGGTGTTAGTTGTACTAGTATTGTTTGCCATGGYTAGGAAACCTCGTCACTGTACTTCCAACAGGAACTGTTACCACTTTTAAGGTCCACAATAGTCACGTGATTAACCAGTGGGCGTGTCTACAAAGTAAACTAATTATGGTTAGTAATTGTCTTTTGCTGAAGCTGGTTTTGGCTCAGGCTTGCAGATTAATATCAATTTCTTAATGAATATTTTAGTATAAATACAGCGCAAGGTCTCACAGCAAGAGAGATAGTGTCAAGGTTGCAGGTGAACGCTGAACAAATGATAAATACTAGACCRCTCGAAGTTAATTTTAACAAATATTTTGTTTATTATATGAACAAGGCTCAAATTGAAAAAGAAGTTGGAATAACACTGCTTATGAAATATCCACTTGATTCGTTTAACTTGAAAGATTTATGGATTTAATCTTTATAGTGTGTAAAATGAATTGAAATCTCACAAAAATATCGGAAGGGAATTTGCAAGGTCTAAGTGGATAGATTTACTGGATTATAAATTGTCAAAACCATGAATGTATCCATGGAGGACCGTAGACAGACGAAGGTACTTGGTTGCCACAAAGGCAGGCCCGACAAAAGGTTACCGACCAATCTTCTCAGCAGTACTTTGAACTTTTTATAAAAAAATATCAGTAATTTAAATCGAAAGGTTGTCGGGAAAACTTCAACCTTCTTCTCATTCTAGCAGTATTTTGTTACAAGGTTTATACCAAGTATCAATAGATCGATATTTTTTTTCAAAAATGACCTAATGTGAACGCGTAGAAGATGYCTTAAATAAGTGMCTTAGTAAAATGCATTATCCTTATTCCTATCTAAACATATCCATTGCAAAATGAGAAATAGCAACATATGTAGACTCTCTTTCTTTCTTTCTTTCTCTTTGTCTCTCTTTCACTTTGAATTTTTTGTTTATTTTTTGTTTGTTTTTGTCTTTTTTCATTACATTATTTTTGCTTCTAAGTAGTACTTTGACCTTTTTATAAAAAAATATCAGTAATTTAAAAACGAAAGGTTGTCGGGAAAACTTAAAACCTATGTCTCATTCTAGCAGTATTTTTTTACAATGTTTATACCAAGCACCAGCAGATCGATTTTTTTGTTTTTTTGTTTTTGAATTTCAATGTGAACCAAACGTGTTTATCATAGATTCCCATTGTCTAGAAATGTTTCTAGTGAATTAGACTTTTTTCATTGTAAAAAAAAATCCTATAAGTTACCTCTGTTTTCTTAAAATTGAACCCAGCGTTAAATGATCCTGTCTCCTTCAAAAGTGTCATGCACTTGTAATGAGGAACCGAGCACATATCAATATTTGAATTATCTTAATATAATATATACGTTGGTTGACGAATTGTGTGATCTAGCCCCGGAGCAATAAAACCATATTGATTAAACTTATTTCTGCCAAGAGAAATGCTGTTGCAGATGCCTGGAGGTTGGACTGCGGTGAAAACGCTGAAACTTAAGAAGCTTGCTTTSCTAACGTAACAATGCCGGCACAAAATGTATCGATTGGATGCTATTCAGTTATTTCGCTCTACATTTTTCCTCTCTTTATTTTTCTTTCTTTCTTTTATTATTTATTTTCTTTTTTTTTTCCAATTCAATAATTCTTTTTTACCTTACTCATAATAGCAAGTAAGGAGACTGGCAAGCCTGACTGAATATTAAATTTACAATTGCCCATTGTTATTTAAGCAAGAAAGCCTAGTTTTTGGCAGATAAGTAAAAATACTCCAGTTTCGAATTCTCTTTTGTGCAAGGTTAGCTTCAATCAAGCATAAATTGTTTATTGTCTTCTTTGTACACAGAGTTTTTGCATTGCAATACATTCTCTGCCGAATAAAAGAATATATTACATGCTTTCGAGGTTAAGACTGCACAAACAAGATCTCGAAACTGGAGTATTAAGTAGAAACGCAAAGAGACTTAGATAATTACATTCCTAAATTTCGCTTTTTTCTTTGTTTCAGCCATTCTCTTTGCAAATACATAAAGGTCTAGCGATGCAAAATTTATATGCCTACATGTATGTCTCCCAGAGGAATTATTTCATAAGCTTTAATGTACATTCCCCCATTGCGTATAACAACATTCAGCGTTTTGCAAAAATTTTCTAAACTTTCAACAATAACTATAGATAAAMAAATATCAGGTGTCTTTTGGGTAATTTCCATTGGATAAAAAGCTTCTGTGACGCAGAAATAGCTAAATATATTTGTTGATTTGCAATTTAGATTCTAAATGGATTTGAAATTAATAAAAATATTTATCATATAATTATCTATGAAGTACCTATATTTCTCCATTTCGTAAAATTGATTTGAMAATAACACATTCGAGGTTTCTCTATATAATGGAAGTAGGAAAAAAGCTATTTTACGAATAATTTGCTTTCATATACAATTATATGATAAATRGAATATTACATGTTCGCTTAGAGATACRAATTTTATCTTCTCTTCGCTGYGCTCACTCATGAGAGATCTTTTAACACTCGAAGATAAAATCCGTATCTCCGCGCGCCCATGTAATATCTTCTATTTATCAATCATCAAAATATTAGTATTACTCAAATCACGATGTATATAAAATGTGTATAATTTGTGAAAATTTCATAAAKGTATGGAACGGAAGACTTTTTTCAAAATAACAAACACGAACAAYCARCAATTMAGAGTGAAAGATTTAAGGCTTTTAAGGCTTTTTCAGTCAGCTGTCTGTATACAATTTTAAAGAACGTTCTCTTAAATTTTAATCAGAATGAAACAAATGTTAATTCCATTCCAAATGATTCATTTTTTATTTCATTTTAACAATTGTATTTAATAAACTGACTAAGGGCGATCTTTTTTGAAGTTTTGAAAGGAAATCGTGTGAAAAGCCATCAATATTAGAATGAAATTTTCTTAATTTTAATCAGAATAAAACAAATGTTCATTCCATTTCAAATGATTCATTTTTTATTTCATTTTAACAATTGTATTTAATAAACTGACTATGGGCGATCTTTTTTGAAGAGTTTTGAAAGGAAATCGTGTGAAAAGCCATCAATATTTGAATGAAATTTTTTCACTGTAAAGGATTATAGAAATTTATGAAATCGATTCAGACTAAAGTTGTGGCACTCGACTACAGCGATCACTATCACATCGCGATTTCTTAAAATTACCAACGGATGGAGGAGGGTACCAAAATACATAAATGTCAGCAAAGATGGCAAATATAAAGACATGTTTGTATAACATAACACGCCTAAAGGCCATCCCAGAACGTTAACGTTGTCAACTGATTATTGRAGCTTTTCGATAATGTACGCTGGCCGTTTGACAAATTCTTTTGTTCCTGGGTTTTGTTACTGTGTACACTTGCTTCCGCCCCCAAGCTGTGTTTTAATCAATTTGAAAACTGACCAAAGAATTTTATTTTCTTATCTCAGTAACATAATTGAAAATCATGTCTTATTTTTTTTCATTTTTCATTTAAGCGCAGCAGTTATTGCTTGCTAATATACATGATAAATGATGTTTCGATAAATATTCTACGAAAAGCCATTTCATGGCTTCGATAAATTTGGTCTCAACCTCATTTATTTTTTTGTTTCTATTCCTTGATAACATTTAAGTAACTGATAATTATCTTTACGACATTATCAGAAAAACAACAAAAACTAATAGGGAATTTGAATTTATCTCATAACGTAATAGAGTTGGAAATRTGTCAGCAATTTTTTATATTAAACACGCGATGTTGTTCGTCGATAATACGGATAAAAGACTAATTTTAGCCCTCTGTTTTAGCCCTCCGTGATAACGTTAAGTGACTGACAGCTTTTTTTGGAAACATTTTCAGTGGTCAAATGTTCAAAGTATCAATCATTCTTTCCCGCTCCTTAGAAATTGAATTTCTTCTCTTATAAATAGTCACATAAATGAAAACGATGTCTTATTTTTCCTTTAATATCGCACCCTAAATGCTAATTTCGGATTGGCTCATTGACAAGAATTTTTCTCTTAATATTTTCTATTATCAATACCACATATACTACATGTAGGTTCATGAGTTTATTTCCTTCAAATGTATTATTAATGGCAAATTTTACCTTAATTAGTTCTCGAAAAAATAATGATAAATATACCTAAATTTAATAAAAGTAGCTTACCCCATTCATCATCTACGTGMAATTTTTTTCCTGGTTAATTCTTCTCGAGCAGTTGGGAGCTTCCTGTACTAARCGGAGGAGTTATTATTGCTTCCCAAAACCCAYGATGTATGACGTTTCGATAATTCCCACGAATTCCTATATCAAATTTAGGATTMTTTCCMTTTAGGCAGAACTGGCCGSCCAGTCCGCTCTAATGTCAACATTATTCAGTCATTTCGAGGTTTTTGTAAAGATTAATGGATAGAATTTCAAAATTTGAATTCCCTAACTAAATAAGAATGATATATAATTACATCCCTTTCTCCTGGATCTGWCCAGCCAGTTCTGACAAATGGAAAGAGCGCTTCGATCAATTTGCTCTGATCTTCATGTATTTTTCAGCTTTTTCTTTTGCAGTAAGAACATTTAAATATTTGATAATTGTTTCATTTAGAGATTTTATACGATTTAACAAAGAAAAACGATCTACGAATTTCCATTTATTTCAAAAATAATAGAACTGAAACTGAAATTTCTCATTTTTATATGACGCGACTTTCTACATGACCAAACGGTTTGCTAATAATTTTTCCTTTTTTCCATTTCCGCGATAACTCAATTTCAATGAAAAACAATTGTATATATATATATTTTTTTTACAGAAAAAAAACCTTTTACTGCTAATGATGTTTTCAAACGATAATCCTTTAATAGCATCAATATTTTCCCATTAAATCCAAAAGAACTCATATCCTTTATTGACAATAGTTCCTAAAATTGCTACGTTCTTGAAACTCTCCTTGGCTGGTGGGCCCCAATATGACTACGGATAGCAAATTTAGTTTCAGTAATTACTAGTACTTTGCCTGCTTTAATTAGCCATCGCAGAACAACAACTTTTATTATTAATATTTCTGTAGAACAAGTAGACAATATGTCTGTATCGGCTAGGGTGTGA